CGTGCTGATGATTGCCAAGCACATGCTGCCTCGAAGGATCCTCCCTAATTGCAGGGATTCGCTCATGTCTAGCATTCGATACTGATGGCTGCCGGTAACCACTTTTTTTTTTTTTTTTTGTAATATGCCGGTAACCACTTCTGGTTGTACGCGCCATTTTTTTATTGTAAGCTTTTCAATTTCGTGGGTGGGTTTCTCCACAGGCGGCGCCAATGTTCTGCCTGAACGATAGAGATGTCTAACCGTAGGTTAGTTGAATGATATAGGATTTGATGCTCTCTCTAGATACCTATAAATTAGGTATCTTGGGGGTAGCGAATCACGACACATGAAATTACGGCTTTAGCCAAAGAGGGGGTGGTGTGTGTGCTCTGTGATTGCATAAAATAGGTTAAAGAGAGGTTAGTCATACATGTGGTCTTTAGCTCCTATTTATAGAGTTTACCTTAAGATTTAAGTTGTTTGGGCCTTCCAAGGATATGGGCCTTACTCAGGTCCATAACAGTGGCGACCACCACTGTGGTGGTGTATGGCTTTGCTATGTTGGATTTGATAGTTTATGTTTTTGGGGTTTGTGGGTATTTTGGTTGAAAGAAACTTGGAGTCTGTTCACATCAGGTTTTTTTTTGTATTTCAACTCTAAAGGTGATTGTGGGATTAAGGGAGGATCTCCTGAAGGATGGAAGAATGGGTAAGTCCTTTCTACCTCTTCCCTTGGCTTTCTTCCCCCCTTTTGTAATGGTTCTACTGTCTTCTTTATAATCTGGTGTATATGCTTTATCTGCCTGGATTGCTGCAACAATTGCATAATACAACCTTTTTTTGTGTGTAGAGATGCCACTTTGACTCTCCATCTTGGTGTTGGTCTCAGAAGCTCTTTTCTCTGTTCTCATTTCTGCTTCATTCCAATTGTAGCTCACCCATTAAATTTTTTCCTCAATGCCTGGCTGCTTTGATCTCTGTACGGAAGACTTGTCGTTATCCTTCTCTTTTTTGTGCAATATTACTTGTTGCTTTTTCTTTTTGAGTAAAGGAAAAAAATTATTAAATGAAATCAGAAATAGAAAAGAACGAAAAAATATTAGTGTTTACAATAATAAATATCGTTAGTAGACTTAACCAATTTCAATGCATCAAGTAGTGGTAGAATTAAAAAATTGAATTAAAATTTCAAATTTAGAAATTTATTAAATATGAAACATTTCAAAGTGGTTTCATTGTTATTATGATTTTTCTTGAATGTAGCGAAATTAATAGACTCAACACTTTCCAATTCAGAAAGTAGTGGGATTTTATATTTGTAATAAATGATCAACTATTTTTCCACATATCAAGTTCAAATTTCAAAATTCAAATTTGAAAAGTGGAACATTTTGTAATAAATATTGAACTCTTTTTCCACCTATCAAATAAAAAATTCAAATTTGAAATGTTTTTAAAAGTGGAAAAAATTAAAGTGTTTGTAGTGTGAACACAAAATGGATATTGAAAGAGAAAGCGATACATCAATAAACTTGCCAAAGAATGATTTTCCTTTAATATAGATATAGAAGATTAGGTCAAATTTGTCATTAAATACGTGGTTCAGATTTGACACAGATGGATTTAAGATTTTGGGTGTGTTTGAAAGTGTTTTTGTTTTTAAAAACTATTTTTAGAATGAAGTTTGAAAACTGATTTTGAGGGTTTGAAAACTGATTTTGAGGGTAAAAAAACAATAAAACTTGTTTGAATATGATTAGTTATAAAGTTATAAAGAAGATGTAGTTATTTACAAAAATGCCATTAATAAATTCTCATATTTACAAGATTGCCATTGCAAAATAATTTAAAATAAAAAAATCGATTTAATTACGAAAATGCCATTAATGAATCCTCTTATTTACAAGATTGCCACCACACAAAACAAGAAACGAGAAAACAACTTTGCAAAACATCCTGGAGTTGTTTTGCTTTTTCGGTTTCTAAAACAAAAAAATAGACACGATTTTTAAAACAAATAGCATGAAAACAGTTTTTTCAAACAAGATTTTTTGTTTTATTGTTTTTAAAATTTAAAAACTGTTCTTGAAAACAGAAATCAATCAGAGTCTTTATCTTTAATTTTGTCTTTATTTAGTTAGGATTTAATGTTAATTTTGTCCAGATTTGATACAAATGGATTTAAGATTTTATCTTTAGTTGTGCTTTAACATGTAGAAAAATAAAATAGATTAATCAAAAAGGGTGAAAAGAAATTAATCGAACTCATTAATAAAGAAATTGACTGGGTTGAAATTAATTACTCTGTTGAAGCATGAAAGAGAGAAGCTCAGCAGCTCTGCCATTGATGATTAAGATAATAACATTTACTCCTTAAAAAATTATTAAAGAGAAAATCTCTAAATTTAATGAAAAATTTCATAATCTTGATTATTAAGGGGAGTATTGGATTAAGATTTTAAAAGATTTTTTTGAGATAAAAAATCTCATAGAATTTAAAAGACTATTTAGATTTGGAGGGACTGTAAATACTTTTCTTACGATCGAGATTGAGGATTTTAATAAAATTTATAAGATTTGAAATAACAATATGGATTTATAAGATTTTAAGAAATCATATGAATTTTTAACAAATATTTAAAATTACAAGAGTCAATAAAAAAAAACAAAGAAATGCAATGATATTAATAAAAAAAGTAAATCCTAATATAATTTTCAAAATATGTAAAACCTAATATAATTTTTAACAAACATTCAAAATTACTATCTTCACATATATAAAGCTATACTAGAACGCATTAGGAGTTAATTTGGAATTTCTCTTGTTATTAATCTTAGAAACCTTAGAAATTTTGTTCTATGCGATGAGAGTTTCAATCTTTCTTTAAATCGACCTCGTTTCATTGATGTAAAACGAAAATTGGTTTGAGGGTTTTTGTTTTCTTATTGTTTTTCACTGTTTTATATTGTTTTTAATATAAAAATCACACATTTTTGTGCCAAGAAAAATCACGATCGATAAATTGAAAAATCATCTTTAAACTTCAAAAATCTGCTATTTTTGAAATGAATTAGATTATAATTTTGTTGGGTTGTTGTTTCTGGGATGTTTTGTGAGGAAAATCGCTAAAAAATATACTAATTTTGAGCTTTGACGAAGCTCTCATGACCAAGGTAGTCAAAATCGGGATTTTACTTAAAATCAAAAAAGAAATAAAAAATCGTAATAAAAATCGTAGATTTTACCTGCACTCTAAAATTAAATTTTTATATACATATGCTTATGTATAAAAAAAATAAGAAAAATAGACTACCTGCCACTATCCTTATACATTTGTATACAATTGTCACACTCTAAGGGTCTAAGCTAATAAATCATTCAAGTTATTATTATCGAAGACATTCTGGTCCACGTGATCTTCAACTACATCATTCAAAATTGTCTTCATCTAAACTTTCATGATGAGATAAAGTTTCTTCATTTTCCACAATCCATTCATCTTCGGATGAAACATCAGCAATGTTATATTCAACAATTTTTCTAACTTGCTTAACATCATTCCAATAGTTAAAATCGGGATTTAAATCTTAAAATCGGACTTAACTAAATGTCTAAATCAGGATTTTATATTGGAAAAGATTTTAAGTGAAATCTAAATCGTTTTAGCAAAAATAAATCGTTAAAATCAGGATTTTAAGATTTAAATCCCGATTTTAACTACCATGCTCATGACAGAACCCGATATTGAGCGAGTCAACTCGCCAAAGCAAGAAAAAGTATTGCAATAGAGAAATTCCAAAAAATCCTAAGGGTTAGGTGAGATTACGAGAGATGCATTCTATTTATATTTCTCACTAAAAAGTCTCATGAAATCCACACTAATAGAATATTCATTAAAATCGTTAGATTTTTGAATATCACAATGTTGTTTTTTCGTTTATTGAATACAATTGGATTTGGACAGCCTCTAAAAGAAATTTTTTTAAATTCTAATCAAATATCATATAATTTTTTTTCAATCTTTTAAAATCTTAATTGAATACCAATAGATTTTTTTGTTCAAAAATGATCCATTAAATTTTTTTAAAATCCCAAAGAATACACCCCCTTAAAAACCAATTATATCAATACACACGATGCATTAATTTGTGAGAAGTATTAACAATATTGACATTATTAATTGTTAGGGATTAAAATATAATTTTTATATTATTTATAATTCTTAGAGATTAAAATATAATTTTTTACTCATCAAAATTAATATATCTATTATAAATTTCACAAAAATAAAATTGATTGTTTAATCATATATTTTACTGGTTATATTTATCTCATTCAACACGAGATAAACCAAATTCATATGCACATATAACAAAGGTGGGTACCACTTCTATTTTTTTTCTCCAACTATTTGTGGGTCATACTAATAATTTTATTTCACTAACATAAGATAACTCATTTCCAATAACAAAAGAAAAACATTTCTTATATTTTATTAACTTGAATATAAGGGGGTGTATTGGATTAAGATTTCAAAGGATTTTAATGGATTACTTTTGGACAAAAAAATTCCGTTGGTATTCGATTAGGATTTTACAAAGAATGATAACCGTTGATTGACGGAATCAACGGTTAAGATATGATTATAAAATATTATAAACAAAAATAAGTTGTAAATATAACCTTTCCCTTTTGTATTGACTCTTGTAATTTTGAATGTTTGTTAAAAATTCATATGATTTTTTAAAATCTTATAAATTCATATTGTCCTTTCAAATCTTATAAAAATTCTATTAAAATCCAATCCTATTAAATCTTGATTGTAAAAAAGTCTTTAAAATCTCTCCAATTCTAAAATATCTTTTAAAATCAGTAAAATTTTTTACTCAAAAAAATCTTTTAAAATAATATCCCGTAAATTCAAATTGGGCAATTCAAATTGGGCCTCACTCAAGCCCTTCCATAAAAACCAGGGAATCCAGTGAACTAGCGATTTCCAATTTCTCTCTGATTTCTTAATCCCTGCGTTTCGCTTTCCTCTTCGAATTCTCACTTCCCTCTTTCCTGTTATTTCAATTTCCCTTCACTCATTCTGTTTCTCTCTCTTATTTTCACTATTCCTCACAAACTCTCCGATTAGGGAATCGCCGTTCTCATTCGAGATGCCCCTCTTTATCTCCGACGAGGAGTTCTCGCGGTGCTCCGGCGACACCGTGGCCGTCGCCGCCAAGGCCGACGCCTTCATCCGCGGCCTCCTCCACGAGCTCGACACCGTCCGCGCCAAGGCCGACGCCGCCGACATCAACGCCGAGCAGAACTGCTCCCATATCGAGCAGAAGTATCTCTCCCTCGCGGCCGAGTTTTCCAAGCTCGAGTCGCAGGTCTCCGAACTCCAATCATCCCTCGATCATCGCCTCCGCGAGCTCTCCGAAGCACAATCTCAGAACCACCAAATTCAATTGCAATCGGTGCGCTTCGAAACGTTGGAAATGTTTCTGCTGGTGCTTGCTTCTTCTTCTTGTTGTGATTTGATGGTTTGTGGTTTTGTAGGTTGAGAAGGATAGGGAGATAGAGAGGTTAAGGACGGAGGTGGGCGAGCTGCACAAGTCGAAGAGGCAGTTGCTTGAGTTGAACGAGCAGAAGGATTTGGAGCTTAGTGAGAAGAATGCCAATATCAAGAGCTATCTTGCTAAGATTGTGAGTTTCTTGTAGTTGTTGTTGTTGGTTTTGTTTCTTAGGTTAAGGCCTTGTAATGATGTTGCTGTCTTTTGTTGTGTTTCAATGGAATTGTTGTAGCTCCATCTGACTGAAAATGCTGCCCATAAAGAGGCCCGTTTGAATGAAGTTGAGGCGGAATTGGCTCGATGCCGTGCTGCTTGCACCCGCCTTGAACAGGTCTTTTATTAGGTTTTTTCTTTTATTATAACTTGCCATTGATTTTGCTTTTGTTCTTATGCCTGAATAGAATACTAGTGGTACTAGAATCCTTCACTTACTTGCTGTTTTATGCGTTAAATGATTCATTTTTGAATGGATCATAGTCATGACGTATAATAGCAGTAAACAACATTTAACATTTCAAATGGGCTGGTCTACATTGCCATTGTCCGAAATGGAAAGTGGCTCTGCATATCTATTGCTACTGTTATGCTCTGGACATTTTCTTGTTTCATCTGAAGTGAACTTTGGCGTTTTATCTTTCACTATAATCTTGTAATGTGTGTAAGCAGGAGAAAGAGATTGTTGAGAGGCAGAATGCTTGGTTTAATGAGGAGTTGACTACTAAAATCAACAGTTTCTTTGAGCTGCGCAGAAAACACGCAGAACTGGATGCCGATATGTCTTCCAAGCTTGCAGATGTAAGTGAGTTTAATATTGTTATAGAAAATTAATTTATTTTTTGAATTTTAATTTGTTTTCATTTCTCTGCTTTAATGTTGTTTGATTTATTGTCAAAATTTCTAGATGGAGAGACAATTTGGTGAATGCTCCAAATCTCTACAGTGGAATAAGGATAGAGTGAGGGAGCTAGAAATGAAGCTTAAATCTGTGCAAAAGGTTCAAAATGTTCTATTCATCATCTTGAAATATGATGCATGGTTTCCTTTTATCGCTAAACCTGCATGATTGATGTTTTTTTATGTTTTTAGGAATTAATTTCAGCTAAAGATTCTGCTGCAGCCAATAAAGAGCAATTATCTGCTGAACTTTCCACTGTGAGTGTATTTGAATCCAACTCAGCCAAATTTAAGCATTCTCAAAATCCAGCTCAAGCTTTCTCAAATTCCTATTCACTATATTAGTGTATTGTTTGAGTTTGACTTTTTGGATCTCTTTTAGCTTTATTTGTTGTGTATTTTATTATGTATTTTAATTTTGAATATGTCCTATTTTTAGGTTAACAAACTTAATGAGCTTTATAAAGAGAGTTCTGATGAATGGTCAAGAAAAGCAGCAGACCTAGAGGGTGTGTTAAAAGCAATGGAGGTGAAGTTTGTTTGTTATTATGCTGTTTTCTAATTTTTGAAATTTGTCAAATTAGAAATTAGAGCACTTGGATTTTTGTTTTCTTAATGTTGCTTGTGTTTTAAACAGTCACGACTAAAGCAAGTCGAAGATGATTATAAAGAGAAACTTGAGAAGGAATTATCTGTTAGAAAACAGGTTGAAAAGGTATTTTATTCTTTGTCAGTCACGTGTTATTTTGTTAATGTTCAGTGCTTAATTACTTTCTTTCCTTATGTGAAATTAGTTGATATTTTGGAACTTCAAATTTGCTACTTTAAAAATCAGACAGTATGGGTCTATAAGATGGAAAATGTTTTAGGTTATTATTGGTCATGCTTAAAGATGGTGAATATTTGGATGACATTGGGTTGCTCTTGCTCCCAATTTATTGGTGGGCAGATATCTACTCAAAATATGTTATGTACTCAAATGTGCAAGTAATCAAAATATGTTATGTACTCAAATGTGCAAGTAATCATGCTTTATATCTATTTGGATGCTTTTAGGAGGTTGCTGATTTGAAAGAAAAGCTTGAGAAGTGTGAAGCTGAAATTGAGACAAGGAAGAAGAGGAATGAGCTGAGCAATCTTTCACTCAGAAGTTTTGCTTCTGAACCGTATGGCTTTCATAACCTTTTTGCTCCTTCGAATTACTTCATTTTATACAAACTTTTCTAATAAAAAATTTATTATGTAAAATTTACCATATAAAATTTATGGTGGTGATTTATTTTTTTAATGATAAATATTAATGACATAACATATAAATAAATATAAAGAACTAGTAGAAATACAAATCCTATTAAATATATGATATTTTTCACATATACGGTATTATTAATGTATATGTTACCACACACGCACGCGCACACAAACACACACGTACACACACACGCAGATCAGAAAGATAATTTTACGTTTCATTTTGACATTTTATGTGCAATTAGCATATGTAGTTGTACCTCTTTCGAACTTTCATTTTTAATGTATTCAAATTATGAAAATGTGCTTAATCATGCCCATGTTCAAGATATAACATGCAGGCCATTGTTTTTCCTTGTGACAGGTGGCTGACATCAATTGATGCTGATAGCATGTTTGACGAAAATAGCATGCTAGTCTCGAAAATTCCTGTTGGTGTTTCTGGAACAGCATTAGCTGCTTCACTTCTGCGAGATGGTTGGAGTGTGAGTTATTAAAGTTTTACTTTTAATACTGGCACTATTTTTCCATTTGATTTACATAAATAAATCTTATTTCTGTATACCTCTATCTTTTGAAGTTGGCCAAAATTTATGCGAAATACCAAGAGGCTATTGATGCATTGAGACATGAACAATTGGGCAGGAAGGAGTCAGAGACAATTTTGCAATGGGTATGGTTGACCTGGTGCATCCTTTTATATATAACCTCAAGGGGAGGGTAATATGACAACACATTTCTTAAATTTATCTTCATGTATGTCTGGTACTTAATTTGTTAATGGGGAAGTTGACTGCAATGCTTTAAGTTATTTATTACAAATAAGAAGCATTTTCATGGAATGGTGGCTGTAATTATTTGAATAATTAATTATATGTATGTAACAAGCATTTCAAAAGAATGTATTTCCTTTCACCTTTAATTTTTGAGGAAAAACCCGATTGTTCTTTTCCTCCAAGGATAAAAGGTTCATCTGTTTGGTCCTCCAACCATTAAATTTCAAAACGGTCCTTCAAAAGGGAACAATTTGATGCCACAAATTGGCGTTAAAATGCCATTTTGATATATTTATCTTTAGAAGGACAAAAAATTGGGTTAACTCTTCTTCTTCGTCTTTTTTTTTTTTTTTGGCTAAAATTGGTTTGATGAATTCCTGTGGTATATAGTGTTTTCTAAGAGTATAACTTGGTTGGCTAGACCTTTTTTGTTTGACTTGCTTCAATTTATTTGAGATCCAATTTCCTAAAGGGATCAATTTGATGCTAAAAATTGACACTAAAGTCCCATGATGTATTTATCAATGGAGGACCGAACTAATGACACTTGTGTTTTTGAAGGACCAAAAATTGGGTTAACTCTTCTTTGTTTTTTTTTTGGGTGGCTAAAATTGGTTTAAAGAATTCCTGTGATATATATTGTTTTCTAAGAGTATAATTTGATTGGCTAAACCTTTTTTGGTTCACTTGCATTTGGGTTGTAATTTACACTGTTTCCTTTCTGCTGGATTTGGAGATGAATTGATTTAGTACGACTACGACTGTGTTCTGGTGGTACCATATAGTTTATATATATTATTGTTAAAAATGATGCAATCTTCTATTAACTTTTTCAGGTTTTGTACGAGTTAGAGGAGAAAGCAGAAGCCATAATAGATGAAAGAGGTATATCGTTTTATTGGATTGAATGGCTAAATAAGCTGTAAACGTGAGAGAAAAATATCATTAAATACTGTTCCAACATTGTTGTCCTTATTGTTCTGCATTAAATTCCACTAGAAAAAAGAAAATGTAGATCTGCATCTTGATTTTATTGCATTTTATTTTAATTATATATGTAATGTGAATGGACCAATAGTGGGTGGTTGCTATTATTGGGCTTGGTTGATGGGGGTAGTCTTGTTATCTAATGATTTTATTTGCACTGCACCTTGGGTAAAATATACAAGGACTATAATTCACTTTGGAATTTTTAAGGTGCTGTGTAAGGAGTTTTCATAATTCGGTTATGATGAATATTCAAGCAAATATCATTTGTGTCCAATGTTACTATAGAGGAAAAGCTCTGCAAGCAGGGTTATTGTTACATTCTTAATCATCAATGCCATATATTTTTTACTAAAATAAATATACTGCTGTTCTTGCAGTGGAGCATGAAAAGATGGCTGACGCATACAGCTTGATGAACCAAAAATTGCAAAACTCCCTGAATGAAAATTCCAACTTAGAGAAAACCATCCTTGAACTGAAGGTTTACAACTTAAAATACTGTTTCATGTACCTTTTTTTTTTGGGTTGTATGTGGATTTGCTTATGTGTATCTTGTGCAGGCTGACCTCAGAAGGAATGAACGGGATTATGATATTGCCCAGAAAGAAATTGATGACCTTCGAAAACAGGTAAGCGATAAACATTCTCTCTTTTTTTCATGTAGTTTAAAATGTTTAGTATATGTATTTCATCAAGTTATCCGTTCTTGATTTTTGTTTGGAGTCTTTGTCTTTTTGTTATTATTGTCATTGTAAGAAGTGGCTCTGAAAATGTAAATGTGCTTTGTTTGGAAGAGAAACAACAACAATCAAGCCTATCCTGTAGGCAGGCTCTATAAAATCCAAAACTTCTATAAAACCATTTAGAGCATGGTCTTTAAATTTCTATAAAGCTAATCAAAATTTGTATTATTCCTGATCTTTTGCTAGGTGGTCTTCTACTCTTTAAATTTGGTCCACTTTTCTCACTAATGCTTCATTTTTGTCTTCCTTTCAAATGATCAAACTATCTTAAGTGAGTATTAAGATAACTATGTAATGTACTGGTGTCAAAAGAATGGGAAGTAAGAAAAGGACAGAAAATATTATTCAGTTTGACCATCGATTGCAGATAATAAGGTGAGTTGTACTTCAATTTTGTATGTGCATTACAAAACAACTCAGTCTAGAAGTGGCTAGGAAGATCTTATCCCGATTGGAAACTATGGAAGTGGGTAATTCTTGTAATCTCACAATCTCTTTAATGAATTAGTCTGTAACATCCTTGGCAGTGAAAGGATGTCTAAGGAGTAGGAAGTGAGTAAATTTAGTCAATCTATTGACCATCACCAAGATACTGTCTTTTCCATAGGATTTGGGTAGCCCTTCCATAAAATCCGTGGAGATATCTGCCCATACTTGAGTTGGAATTGGTAAAGGCTTAAGCATCCGTATCGAAGATAGTGTTTGGGCTTTATTGCATTGAACATCACATTCAACATCAACCACATAAAAAGACTCAATCAAAGCAAGTCTACGAAAGCTTGATGGGGCCAGTTTTGTAGCTAGGACAAGATTCTGATGAGCCGGGCTGCATTTCAAGAACTGTTGGCACCAAGGAGCATCTAGGACGAAGTACGACAAGGACAGTCAACATATGAGGCTATCCAATGGCACTAGTGTGCAAGTGCCAAATTTCTCCCCATCGAGGATGCGCCGGACTTGAGGGTTGCTCCAGATCCGGTGGTCACTAGAAAACTCACCGGAATATTTTCTCGTTCACCTGAAAAGTT